GCCCCTGGTAAATACGGAGTACTTGAAAAGTACACCGTATGACAATTGCTTTTTGAAAATATCACGCAACCCAAAGCTGAAAGTGCTGCAGCTGCCAAACCCATTTCGAAGCTGAAATACCCATTGAAACAGAGGCTTTATTCTTATTAAAGCCCAAGTCAGATAAAATTACTTCCAACTACCCCAAAAATGTATTCGTGGTAAAAAAATACTTCCAACTAAGCTACCCCAATAAAATTACTTCCAACTACCCTTTTGGCATTGTTCAAGCTCTTAACCTTAAGCCGAAAGGAAGATTTTGGAGGGAAGAGGGGAAAGTAAAGACTAAGAAGCTGTTCTCTTCGTCTTAATCTTATTATTATTCCTTATTCTTATTTTATTCAGATCGGATCAGATTAGATCAGGTTAGAAAAATTCAGATCAGATCAGAAAGATTCAGATCAGAACAAATCAGAAACATTCAGATCAGATCAGAAACATTTAAATCAGATCAGAAAAATTCAAAAGTAATTTATCACTTTTATTATTATATTAATTTTATTATTATATTAATTATAAGTATTACTATTATAATTATTATATTACAATCATTGTTAAAGATATTAATAATAATATATTAATATAATAATATAATAATATTAGTATTTTAAATAATAAAATATTGGTCAATTGGTAAAAAAAAGAAACCCGATTTTTATGCGATTTTCTTCCATTCATTTTTTAGAGTGACAAATTGGTGAAAAAAAGAAACCTTAGTGATAAATTGGTCAATTTTTTTAGAGTGACAAACTTTTGATCCCCGATTTTAGAATTCCCGATATTCCATATTATAAGTATTATGAAATTGACATTTGTCGCACTTTTACTTTGATTATTTCACCAAAAGTGGAGGTCTAAAAATGTCAACGACTGTGTTTGATAATAGGGGTTGTTTGCTAGCTCATAGTCGGTTGTATCAAAAGATTTATATAAGCGGATTCTGTTACGAGTAGTTTTTTTAACTAACCACTTTCATTAGTGTTTTTAATACAATGGTTGCCACATCAGCCTATCCACGTCACTCAAACATTTTCGTGTCATTCAATTTTAAAGGCAAGTGCAGCTCTTAATGTATTCCAAAAGAAAATGGGCAGCAGGTTTCGAACTTGGGTGGGAGGTGAACCGGCGTATTTCTTCCATTCCTTTATCCATTAGGCAACATCATTCACATGTTCTTGGTGACTTTTTAGTTTAAATCTATTTGCTAAAAGGTGGGAGCCTCCCAAACAATTTGAAATATAATTAAAAACTTTTTTTTTGAAAGGAAATGTAATAAAATACTTAATTTAAGAAATCCGATTAAAACCTAAATATAAAAAATTAAAATAAAAAAATATAAAAAACTTAGTTTGTGATATTTAATTAAAAAAATTAAAATGTCATTAAACTTATATAAAAAACATAATTTTAAATAACTCGAAAACAAATAAGTAAAAAATATATAAGTAACTTTAATTCTAGTCCCCAGACCATCCTAATTTAAAAAAATTATATGCTTTTATTGTAAAATATAATATACTCTCTCTCATGAGATTTTGTTATTATAAAATTTAATTAGGTCTTTATTTTTTTAATTATCTCAATTTTATTATTTTAATTAATTTTTAAAATTTACTACAACGTAGAAAGGATTTTATTTAGAAAAAATTTATTACCACCAAAGTATATGATATTTTACATTAAAAATATATAAAAATTTTATAGTTGGGATGGGCTAGGGACTAGAATTAAATTTACTTATTTAATTTACTATTTACGAGTTAATTCAATATTTTTAATTACATATTGCAAATTATGGTTTTTATATAAGTTCAATTACGTTTAAATTTTCTAATTAAATATCACAAATTAAGTTTTACATTATAATTTGTATTTAATTTTTAATTTAATTTCTCTAATAAAGTTTTTAATTAGAATTTATCTAATTCTAGTGCAAATTAAATTTTTAATTATGTTTTTTATTAGCGTTGAAAAAATTATGTCTTTTATTATATAAACATTTTATTTAAATACTAGAAAAAGTGATTATAGGGAAGTGAAAGGTGTAGCCCAGGTTCGAATCCTGGGTGTACAAAACTTTCACAAGTGTTACCAAAATAAATTACCATGTAAAAATTACCAGAAAAAATTATCATGTACAAATTTACAACACTTTTTCCACAAGTGTTACCATGTACGTAGTACTTGTAATATTTATTCCTACATGCAATTAAGTGGTAGTTGAAAAATTATGTTAAGTTATACACTTACACAACGTAATTACATTAAAAATTATGTTAAGTCATAAACTTACCAAGAAATTTCATTTAGAAGAAGACTGACGATGCTAGTCAGTCCGAGGTGGTATGAACTTTCATTGTGAGTAAACTTGTCGTAGAGCATTCGCCCAAAGTCTTGAAAATCTTTGTCTATTTCAATTTTGGGACCAATTGGAGCAACAATTGCAGTTAGTTTTATACGCCCTCTCCATACAACAATATTGTTTGGATCATTTAGATTTCCCTGACCACCACCCAGACGTTTATGTAAACGGTTTACAGCTTCCAGTAATTCCCTGAAAAAAGTAAAGAAGTATTCAAATTTTGTAAATTGTAAATTTTACAAATTATAAAATTAAAATATGACTTAATTACGTTATTTGGTTCTTTGAAATATCAATAGCATCCATGAAAGTTGTAGAATATGGATCATAGAAAAAATATGAGTAGGTGGGGGATACAAAGGAAAGTAAGGGACGCAAAATAAAAGGAAGACTTGATAATGTCTGAGAGAAGTCAAATGATTGTTTCATTGCAATTGACTTCGAAGTCACCACTTTCATCAACACGGTCTTCCCAAAAGCTTCAGTTAGGCAAAAGTGGATTTGAACTTCATGTGTGCCTCGGATAAAGCTTGATTTGTTTATCCCTATAGGTTTCTCCAAGATCGATCTCTGGTAGTAGTGGTGGTGGTGTAGTAGACATTTTATGTGAGAAGAGAAAGTGAGCGGTTCGTTGAACAGTAACCTAAGAAAATGCTCTCATACACCCCGTGTGTGAGCAGTTGTACAGTAAAATAAAATAAGTAAATTCTGAGCAGTTGACCACTAACCCCAATAAAATAAGTAAATGCTGAGCAAATGTACACCCGTGAAGGCTGAACTCCATAAGTAGTTTTTTTTTTAAAAGGAACTCCATAAGTAGTTGATACTTGATAGTAGTAAATACCAAAGGCGGATGGCTGTGTGGACAGGGGTGAGCTCCAGCCCAGCCCAATGTTTTTATTTAATCAGTATAAGTATAGGTTTTACTATCAGCCAACCCAAAATTTATTCCCAGCCCACCCCACAATTTATTTTCGGCCCAAAGCCAGAATATTTCAACTTACCTGCGCAGCACCGCTCCTAGCGAACCGGCAGAACGAGAAAGAAATAAAATAGAAGAAAGACGGAGGCACAGAGCGAGCTTGCGACGAAGAAGGCGAGAAGCTGCGACCCTGCGACGAAGAGCGAACAACAAGACATCAGCCGCGCCGCGTTCCTCCGTCCACGCCGCGCTTCCAGCCGTCCAGGGGGCTGCGTCGTCGGCCACTCGGCTGTCCTTCCTCTCTGGGTTCTGCCTCCAGCTCTGGCGCAGGTGAGTCTTCAGATTTTTACTCCCTTATTTTGTGAGATTTTTTTAACATGTATATTAGAGAATGATTTGATTATTAATTGAAATTTTTACTCTCTGGCCTCCGTTCCGTTACTTAATTGAAATTTTTACTCTCTGGCCGCCGGGTTAGAATGATTTGATTATTAATTGAAATTTCAATGCATAATGAAATAGGTCTAATAGGGCAAAATTCATTATAACTTTATAATGATTAAATATAGAATTAAATCTTAGAGAATGATTTATTGATAATACAATTGAAAATTTATTTATTGTGTGGACATGTAAGAAAAAAATGAAGAATTTAATTGAATTTTGAAGTTGGGAATACTTATTAGTTTTATGTACAATGATTGTTTTTTCTTATTAGTTTTATAATTTTATATTTTTATAGAAGTATTTTGATTAATACCAATATTGAAAATGTTTTTTAGAATGGATAATGAACATATATTGCCATGAAAGGGAATAAGTTGATTTCGTCATTCTTTCTGAAAGTGAATCGTCAAATTGGTAAAGGGAGTTCTAAACCTATACCTATGGTAGTGCAAGTCCCTAGAATTCAAACTATCTCAAATTTGGAGTTGCCTTCATTTTTTAACATTGAGAGAGATCCAAGAAAAAGAAAGCAAATTCATTGAAAGAGATTTTGTCAATAGTATAGATGTAAATTCTATTATTGATGAATTCTGTAATTTGAAGTCGTGTAGAGCTCAACTTAAGTGATGTTCTGATGAATATTTAAAATGTTGACGACTTGACGTATTAGTATGTATGTATCTTTCAATTTTTTTCCTCAGCCCATCCCATTGTAATTTTCTGGACCCGCCCCTGGTAAATACGGAGTTCTTGAAAAGTACACCGTATGACAATTGCTTTTTGAAAATATCACGCAACCCAAAGCTGAAAGTGCTGCAGCTGCCAAACCCATTTCGAAGCTGAAATACCCATTGAAACAGATGCTTTATTCTTATTAAAGCCCAAGTCAGATAAAATTACTTCCAACTACCCCAAAAATGTATTCGTGGTAAAAAAATACTTCCAACTAAGCTACCCCAATAAAATTACTTCCAACTACCCTTTTGGCATTGTTCAAGCTCTTAACCTTAAGCCGAAAGGAAGATTTTGGAGGGAAGAGGGGAAAGTAAAGACTAAGAAGCTGTTCTCTTCGTCTTAATCTTATTACTTATTCCTTATTCTTATTTTATTCAGACCGGATCAGATTAGATCAGGTTAGAAAAATTCAGATCAGATCAGAAAGATTCAGATCAGAATAAATCAGAAACATTCAGATCAGATCAGAAACATTTAAATCAAATCAGAAAAATTCAAACGTAATTTATCACTTTTATTATTATATTAATTTTATTATTATATTAATTATAAGTATTACTATTATAATTATTATATTACAATCATTGTTAATGATATTAATAATAATATAATAATATAATAATATTAATATTTTAAATAATAAAATATTGGTCAATTGGTAAAAAAAGAAACCCGATTTTTATGCGATTTTCTTCCATTCATTTTTTAGAGTGACAAATTGGTGAAAAAAAAGAAACCTTAGTGATAAATTGGTCAAATTTTTTAGAGTGACAAACTTTTGATCCCCGATTTTAGAATTCCCGATATTTCATATTATAAGTATTATGAAATTGACATTTGTCGCACTTTTACTTTGATTATTTCACCAAAAGTGGAGGTCTAAAAATGTCAACGACTGTGTTTGATAATAGCGGTTGTTTGTTAGCTCATAGTCGGTTGTATCAAAAGATTTATATAAGCGGATTCTGTTACGAGTAGTTTTTTTAACTAACCACTTTCATTAGTGTTTTTAATACAATGGTTGCCACATCAGCCTATCCACGTCACTCAAACATTTTCGTGTCATTCAATTTTAAAGGCAAGTGCAGCTCTTAATGTATTCAAAAAGAAAATGGGCAGCAGGTTTCGAACTTGGGTGGGAGGTGAACCGGCGTATTTCTCCCATTCCTTTACCCATTAGGCAACATCATTCACACGTTCTTGGTGACTTTTTAGTTTAAATCTATTTGCTAAAAGGTGGGAGCCTCCCAAACAATTTGAAATATAATTAAAAACTTTTTTTTTGAAAGGAAATGTAATAAAATACTTAATTTAAGAAATCCGATTAAAACCTAAATATAAAAAACTTAAAATAAAAAAATATAAAAAACTTAGTTTGTGATATTTAATTAAAAAAATTAAAATGTCATTAAACTTATATAAAAAACATAATTTGAAATTTGAATTTTTTTTTTTTTAAATAACTCGAAAACAAATAAGTAAAAAATATATAAGTAACTTTAATTCTAGTCCCCAGACCATCCTAATTTCAAAAAATTATATGCTTTTATTGTAAAATATAATATACTCCCTCTCTCATGAGATTTTGTTATTATAAAATTTAATTAGGTCTTTATTTTTTTAATTATCTCAATTTTATTATTTTAATTAATTTTTAAAATTTACTACAACGTAAAAAGGATTTTATTTAGAAAAAAGTTATTACCACCAAAGTATATGATATTTTACATTAAAAATATATAACAATTTTATAGTTGGGATGGGCTAGGGACTAGAATTAAATTTACTTATTTAATTTACTATTTACGAGTTAATTCAATATTTTTAATTACATATTGCAAATTATGGTTTTTATATAAGTTCAATTACGTTTAAATTTTCTAATTAAATATCACAAATTAAGTTTTACATTATAATTTGTATTTAATTTTTAATTTAATTTCTCTAATAAAGTTTTTAATTAGAATTTATCTAATTCTAGTGCAAATTAAGTTTTTAATTATGTTTTTTATTAGCGTTGAAAAAATTATGTCTTTTATTATATAAACATTCTATCTAAATACTAGAAAAAGTGATTATAGGGAAGTGAAAGGTGTAGCCCAGGTTCGAATCCTGGGTGTACAAAACTTTCACAAGTGTTACTAAAATAAATTACCATGTAAAAATTACCAGAAAAAATTATCATGTACAAATTTACAACACTTTTTCCACAAGTGTTACCATGTACGTAGTACTTGTAATATTTATTCCTACATGCAATTAAGTGGTAGTTGAAAAATTATGTTAAGTTATACACTTACACAACGTAATTACATTAAAAAATATGTTAAGTCATAAACTTACCAAGAAATTTCATTTAGAAGAAGACTGACGATGCTAGTCAGTCCGGGGTGGTATGAACTTTCATTGTGAATAAACTTGTCGTAGAGCATTCGCCCAAAGTCGTGAAAATCTTTGTCTATTTCAATTTTGGGACCAATTGGAGCAACAATTGCAGTTAGTTTTATACGCCCTCCCCATACAACAATATTGTTTGGATCATTTAGATTTCCCTGACCACCACCCAGACGTGTATGTAAACAGTTTAGAGCTTCCAGTAATTCCCTGAAAAAAGTAAAGAAGTATTCAAATTTTGTAAAGTGTAAATTTTACAAATTATAAAATTAAAATATGACTTAATTACGTTATTTGGTTCTTTGAAATATCAATAGCATCCATGAAAGTTGTAGAATATGGATCATAGAAAAAATATGAGTAGGTGGGGGATACAAAGGAAAGTAAGGGACGCAAAATAAAAGGAAGACTTGATAATGTCTGAGAGAAGTCAAATGATTGTTTCATTGCAATTGACTTCTAAGTCACCACTTTCATCAACACGGTCTTCCCAAAAGCTTCAGTTAGGCAAAAGTGGATTTGAACTTCATGTGTGCCTCGGATAAAGCTTGATTTGTTTATCCCTATAGGTTTCTCCAAGATCGATCTCTGGTAGTAGTGGTGGTGGTGTAGTAGACATTTTATGTGAGAAGAGAAAGTGAGCGGTTCGTTGAACAGTAACCTAAGAAAATGCTCTCATACACCCCGTGTGTGAGCAGTTGTACAGTAAAATAAAATAAGTAAATTCTGAGCAGTTGACCACTAACCCCAATAAAATAAGTAAATGCTGAGCAAATGTACACCCGTGAAGGCTGAACTCCATAAGTAGTTTTTTTTTTAAAAGGAACTCCATAAGTAGTTGATACTTGATAGTAGTAAATACCAAAGGCGGATGGCTGTGTGGACAGGGGTGAGCTCCAGCCCAGCCCAATGTTTTTATTTAATCAGTATAAGTATAGGTTTTACTATCAGCCAACCCAAAATTTATTCCCAGCCCACCCCACAATTTATTTTCGGCCCAAAGCCAGAATATTTCAACTTACCTGCGCAGCACCGCTCCTAGCGAACCGGCAGAACGAGAAAGAAATAAAATAGAAGAAAGACGGAGGCACAGAGCGAGCTTGCGACGAAGAAGGCGAGAAGCTGCGACCCTGCGACGAAGAGCGAACAACAAGACATCAGCCGCGCCGCGTTCCTCCGTCCACGCCGCGCTTCCAGCCGTCCAGGGGGCTGCGTCGTCGGCCACTCGGCTGTCCTTCCTCTCTGGGTTCTGCCTCCAGCTCTGGCGCAGGTGAGTCTTCAGATTTTTACTCCCTTATTTTGTGAGATTTTTTTAACATGTATATTAGAGAATGATTTGATTATTAATTGAAATTTTTACTCTCTGGCCTCCGTTCCGTTACTTAATTGAAATTTTTACTCTCTGGCCGCCGGGTTAGAATGATTTGATTATTAATTGAAATTTCAATGCATAATGAAATAGGTCTAATAGGGCAAAATTCATTATAACTTTATAATGATTAAATATAGAATTAAATCTTAGAGAATGATTTATTGATAATACAATTGAAAATTTATTTATTGTGTGGACATGTAAGAAAAAAATGAAGAATTTAATTGAATTTTGAAGTTGGGAATACTTATTAGTTTTATGTACAATGATTGTTTTTTCTTATTAGTTTTATAATTTTATATTTTTATAGAAGTATTTTGATTAATACCAATATTGAAAATGTTTTTTAGAATGGATAATGAACATATATTGCCATGAAAGGGAATAAGTTGATTTCGTCATTCTTTCTGAAAGTGAATCGTCAAATTGGTAAAGGGAGTTCTAAACCTATACCTATGGTAGTGCAAGTCCCTAGAATTCAAACTATCTCAAATTTGGAGTTGCCTTCATTTTTTAACATTGAGAGAGATCCAAGAAAAAGAAAGCAAATTCATTGAAAGAGATTTTGTCAATAGTATAGATGTAAATTCTATTATTGATGAATTCTGTAATTTGAAGTCGTGTAGAGCTCAACTTAAGTGATGTTCTGATGAATATTTAAAATGTTGACGACTTGACGTATTAGTATGTATGTATCTTTCAATTTTTTTCCTCAGCCCATCCCATTGTAATTTTCTGGACCCGCCCCTGGTAAATACGGAGTACTTGAAAAGTACACCGTATGACAATTGCTTTTTGAAAATATCACGCAACCCAAAGCTGAAAGTGCTGCAGCTGCCAAACCCATTTCGAAGCTGAAATACCCATTGAAACAGAGGCTTTATTCTTATTAAAGCCCAAGTCAGATAAAATTACTTCCAACTACCCCAAAAATGTATTCGTGGTAAAAAAATACTTCCAACTAAGCTACCCCAATAAAATTACTTCCAACTACCCTTTTGGCATTGTTCAAGCTCTTAACCTTAAGCCGAAAGGAAGATTTTGGAGGGAAGAGGGGAAAGTAAAGACTAAGAAGCTGTTCTCTTCGTCTTAATCTTATTACTTATTCCTTATTCTTATTTTATTCAGACCGGATCAGATTAGATCAGGTTAGAAAAATTCAGATCAGATCAGAAAGATTCAGATCAGAATAAATCAGAAACATTCAGATCAGATCAGAAACATTTAAATCAAATCAGAAAAATTCAAACGTAATTTATCACTTTTATTATTATATTAATTTTATTATTATATTAATTATAAGTATTACTATTATAATTATTATATTACAATCATTGTTAATGATATTAATAATAATATAATAATATAATAATATTAATATTTTAAATAATAAAATATTGGTCAATTGGTAAAAAAAGAAACCCGATTTTTATGCGATTTTCTTCCATTCATTTTTTAGAGTGACAAATTGGTGAAAAAAAAGAAACCTTAGTGATAAATTGGTCAAATTTTTTAGAGTGACAAACTTTTGATCCCCGATTTTAGAATTCCCGATATTCCATATTATAAGTATTATGAAATTGACATTTGTCGCACTTTTACTTTGATTATTTCACCAAAAGTGGAGGTCTAAAAATGTCAACGACTGTGTTTGATAATAGCGGTTGTTTGTTAGCTCATAGTCGGTTGTATCAAAAGATTTATATAAGCGGATTCTGTTACGAGTAGTTTTTTTAACTAACCACTTTCATTAGTGTTTTTAATACAATGGTTGCCACATCAGCCTATCCACGTCACTCAAACATTTTCGTGTCATTCAATTTTAAAGGCAAGTGCAGCTCTTAATGTATTCAAAAAGAAAATGGGCAGCAGGTTTCGAACTTGGGTGGGAGGTGAACCGGCGTATTTCTCCCATTCCTTTACCCATTAGGCAACATCATTCACACGTTCTTGGTGACTTTTTAGTTTAAATCTATTTGCTAAAAGGTGGGAGCCTCCCAAACAATTTGAAATATAATTAAAAACTTTTTTTTTGAAAGGAAATGTAATAAAATACTTAATTTAAGAAATCCGATTAAAACCTAAATATAAAAAACTTAAAATAAAAAAATATAAAAAACTTAGTTTGTGATATTTAATTAAAAAAATTAAAATGTCATTAAACTTATATAAAAAACATAATTTGAAATTTGAATTTTTTTTTTTTAAATAACTCGAAAACAAATAAGTAAAAAATATATAAGTAACTTTAATTCTAGTCCCCAGACCATCCTAATTTAAAAAAATTATATGCTTTTATTGTAAAATATAATATACTCCCTCTCTCATGAGATTTTGTTATTATAAAATTTAATTAGGTCTTTATTTTTTTAATTATCTCAATTTTATTATTTTAATTAATTTTTAAAATTTACTACAACGTAAAAAGGATTTTATTTAGAAAAAAGTTATTACCACCAAAGTATATGATATTTTACATTAAAAATATATAACAATTTTATAGTTGGGATGGGCTAGGGACTAGAATTAAATTTACTTATTTAATTTACTATTTACGAGTTAATTCAATATTTTTAATTACATATTGCAAATTATGGTTTTTATATAAGTTCAATTACGTTTAAATTTTCTAATTAAATATCACAAATTAAGTTTTACATTATAATTTGTATTTAATTTTTAATTTAATTTCTCTAATAAAGTTTTTAATTAGAATTTATCTAATTCTAGTGCAAATTAAGTTTTTAATTATGTTTTTTATTAGCGTTGAAAAAATTATGTCTTTTATTATATAAACATTCTATCTAAATACTAGAAAAAGTGATTATAGGGAAGTGAAAGGTGTAGCCCAGGTTCGAATCCTGGGTGTACAAAACTTTCACAAGTGTTACCAAAATAAATTACCATGTAAAAATTACCAGAAAAAATTATCATGTACAAATTTACAACACTTTTTCCACAAGTGTTACCATGTACGTAGTACTTGTAACTACGTTGTGTAAGTGTATAACTTACAAAAAAAAACGTAGTACTTGTAATATTTATTCCTATATGCAATTAAGTGGTAGTTGAAAATTTGTGTTAAGTTATACACTTACACAACGTAATTACATTAAAAATTATGTTAAGTCATAAACTTACCCAGAAATTTCATTTAGAAGAAGACTGACGATGCTAGTCAGTCCGGGGTGGTATGAACTTTCATTGTGAATAAACTTGTCGTAGAGCATTCGCCCAAGGTCTTGAAAATCTTTGTCTATTTCAATTTTGGGACCAATTGGAGCAACAATTCTAGTTAGTTTTATACGCCCTCCCCATACAACAATATTGTTTGGATCATTTAGATTTCCATGACCACCACCAAGACGTTTATGTAAACAGTTTACAGCTTCCAGTAATTCCCTGAAAAAAGTAAAGAAGTATTCAAATTTTGTAAATTGTAAATTTTACAAAATTATAAAATTAAAATATGACTTAATTACGTTATTTGGTTCTTTGAAATATCAATAGCATCCATGAAAGTTGTAGAATATGGATCATAGAAAAAATATGAGTAGGTGGGGGATACAAAGGAAAGTAAGGGACGCAAAATAAAAGGAAGACTGGATAATGTCTGAGAGAAGTCAAATGATTGTTTCATTGCAATTGACTTCGAAGTCACCACTTTCATCAACACGGTCTTCCCAAAAGCTTCAGTTAGGCAAAAGTGGATTTGAACTTCATGTGTGCCTCGGATAAAGCTTGATTTCTTTATCCCTATAGGTTTCTCCAAGCTCTCTGGTAGTAGTGGTGGTGGTGTAGTAGACATTTTCTGTGAGAAGAGAAAGTGAGCGGTTTGTTGAACAGTAACCTAAGAAAATGCTCTCATACACCCCGTGTGTGAGCAGTTGTACAGTAAAATAAAATAAGTAAATGCTGAGCAGTTGAACACTAACCCCAATAAAATAAGTAAATGCTGGGCAAATGTACACCCGTGAATGCTGAACTCCATAAGTAGTTTTTTTTTTTTTGAAAAGGAACTCCATAAGTAGTTGAGAGTAGTAAATACGGAGTACTTGAAAAGTACACCGTGTGACAACAGCTTTTTGAAAATATCACGCAACCTAAAGCTGAAAGTGCTGCAGCTGCCAAACCCATTTCGGAGCTGAAATACCCATTGAAACAGAGGCTTTATTCTTATTAAAGCCCAAGTCAGATAAAATTACTTCCAACTACCCCAAAAATGTATTCGTGGTAAAAAAATACTTCCAACTACCCCAATAAAATTACTTCCAACTACCCTTTTGGCATTGTTCAAGCTCTTAACCTTAAGCCGAAAGGAAGATTTTGGAGGGAAGAGGGGAAAGTAAAGACTAAGAAGCTGTTCTCTTCGTCTTAATCTTATTACTTATTCCTTATTCTTATTTTATTCAGATCGGATCAGATTAGATCAAATTAGAAAAATTCAGATCAGATCAGAAAGATTCAGATAAGAACAAATCAGAAACATTCAGATCAGATCAGAAACATTTAAATCAGATCAGAAAAATTCAAACGTAGTTTATCACTTTTATTATTATATTAATTTTATTATTATATTAATTATAAGTATTACTATTATAATTATTATATTACAATCATTGTTAATGATATTAATAATAATATATTAATATATATATTTTTTTTTTTGGGGGGGGGGGGTCATCTACCGATATATTATTAAGATTAGAGTGAGTACAAATAGAGAGGGGGCTAGACCAAAACCTCTCCCAAAGAATCGTTCGTCAACCAAAAACATAAAAGAAAATAAAATAAACGAAAGAAAAGCTAGAGAATAATCGAAACAGAGACGAACTAAGAACGAACGCATGGAAACCCAAACAAATCCGCATAGAAACAGAGACGTGCGTGTTTAGGTAAATGATCAATCCTATCATAATATACCATCTGGGCCGGATAAATATTTTGAGTAGCTAAATAATGGGCCGGCCCAGTTACCTCACGATAGACATGCCCAAATGAATACCCAGAGTCCTTGGCTACTTCTGCGAAAGTCCGAAGCCAAGCAGGCATTCCAAATTCGCCAGACAGGGCAGACAGGGTAGCTATGGATCCAAAGCATCGGTTTCCACCTGAATCTCAACAAAGCCTTTGTCAATCGCCATCTGAGAGGCAAAGACGACTGCCTGCAGTTCCGCCTCCTCACACGTTTGAGCCTGAATGTTGAAGGAAATAGCCCAGAAAAGTTCTCCCTTTCGGTTTCTTAAAATAGCACCACCGTTCGCGGAGTGAGGTAAAAATGATGCATCAACGTTGAGCTTGTACTCCTTTCTTGGTCTATTCCATTTAATCACTTTACAGCCCCGATATGTAAACTTAAAGTTTTCAGGAATCAGCTTCTCACAAATTAGGAAGTCCTCCACTCTCCTTTGTTTTATTTTCGTGAGCTTGTATGCCCAATTCTGGGTATATAGCTTAATCTGCCAGATTAGATGTTCTGTTGAAGGGATAGGACTCTTCTCCCAAGTAAAGGAGGAGTATACCTTCCAAATAAACCAACAAATTATCCCGGGCAGATTGTGCTTAAAGATATCACCCAACATTTTGGAGCCTGCTTCTACCCACCAATAAACAAGATTCTGTCTAAGAAAGACACAGTTGCTCTGAGTTAAAATGTTAAAAACATTTATGAAGTACTCCCAAACTTTTCTTGTATATGAACAATCATAAAAGACATGATTGATTGTATCACCCTGCTTGCAGCAAAAAGGGCACCTTGAGGGCAACAGATTAAAATTAAATCTTAACAGATTCTCTGGCATAGGCAGATACTGATTTATAAGCTTCCACATGAATAATTTAACCTGCATATGTTGATGTTTATTCCAAATATGTTTAGAAGTGAAAGTTACCGATTGAACCTCTCTTATCTCATTGTAGGCTGAAGATAAGGAGAATCTGCCTTGTTTTCCAGGCAACCAGTCCACAGATCCTGAGTTCTGAATAGAGATAAGATCAGCTGCAATATCATGAACAGAACAAATCCTCCTCCAAATTGTAGAATCAGTAGTCTTAGCTAGCATATTCCCTCCCCGAGGATATTTAGCATTAATAAAATTACCCCAGAAGGAGTTGTTACTTTTCCACTTCCACCAAAGCATCAAAGTAAATGATTTTTCAACATCAGATAGCAATCTTATTCCCAAACCTCCCTCTTCAGTTGGGAAGCAAAGTTTAGACCATTTAGCCCAGTGAACCTTCTGTTTTTCAGTAGATGAACTCCAGAAAAAATGAGCCATTTTTTTTCAAGGGTGGAGATAACTCGCTTAGGCAGAATATCAGTGGCTAAGATATGATTAGGAATAGAACAAAGGACATGCTTAATCAAAATTAACATGCCTCCTTGAGCTAAATTCTTTTGCTTCCAGGCAGATAGTTTAGAATCAAACAGATTTATGAGCTTGTCACAATAATGAAATCTGTTTATACCTTTATGTAGTGTAGCTCCCAAGTACTTCATAGGCAAACTGGATCTTGTCATGCCTAGGATCTTCTGAATGACAGCGCTTCTGTAAGTAGCTCCTTCATAGTATGATAAATTGGGTGAAGTTTATCAAAGACCTTGATTCTCCATTGGTAAAAATAAGTAGATCATCTGCAAAGCCAAGATGTGTAACAGGATATCCCACTGGGCCTATCCAATATGGCTTTATAATTCCTTGCCCCATTCTGACCTTAAGAGTTCTTGAGAAACCTTCAGAAGCAATAATAAATAGTAAGGGGGAAAGAGGATCTCCCTGTTTAACCCCCCTTTTAGGCTGAAAATATCCTTGAGGGCTTCCATTAATAAGAATTGAGAAATAAGTGGACTGTAGGTTAGCCTGGACAAGGGAAATAAATTTTCCTGAAAAACCAAATTTAGCCAGAACTTTACCCAAGTAAGTCCAAGACAACTTATCAAAGGCCTTAGCCATCCAACTTAACAACCACATTAGAGCTCCTGACCTTTTTATCAATAGCATGAATCATTTCCTCAGCAATCAAAATTTGATCAGATATGTCTCTTCCCTTCACAAATCCTACTTGCTCATCTGAAATAATCTGAGGCAAAATCTTAACTAGTCTGGAAGCTAGCACCTTGGTGCATATTTTATTGGTAAAGTTGGATAGACAAATAGGTCTAAAATCAGCAAAGGAGGTAGGTAATTCTTTTTTAGGAATCAGGGTAATGAAGGAACTAGAAAAACCTTTAGGAGGGGGAACCCCGATAAAAAATTCCTGGACAGCCCGAACAACATCACCCCCAACTATAGACCAACATTTTTTATAAAACTTCCCAGAATATCCATCAGGACCTGGAGCACCATTCTGATTTAAATCCCAAACAGCTGCCTTTACTTCATCTTCAGAAGGTAAAATAGTAAGAGAATTATTATCCTCTGAATTGATAACATGAGGTATATTCATAAGGATATCATTATTGTTAACCACAGGTTCAACAGAATATAAATCTGATAAGAAATCAACTGCAGCTTGGCCTATATCAGATAAGTTGGAACATTCCCTACCCTCTGAATCCAAAATATTGTGTATCATTTGCCTCTTTCTTCTGATTTTTACGAAAGCATGAAAATAGTGAGAATTACAATCCCCTTCCTTAAGCCATTTGATATGAGATTTCTGCTTCCAGAATTTTCTTTCAAGTATGTACTTACTAATGAGTAAAGCTTTCTTGTGATTCCAGTTTTCCCTGTTAGCCTCTGAGGGGCAAAGTTGAAAATCATGTTCAGCTTGGGAGGCCTCCTGCTCACAGTACTTGATATCATCAAAAATATTCCCAAAGGTATCTTTGTTCCATCTTCTTAAATCCTTTTTTTAACTTCTGAAGTTTAATAACAAGTCCCTGCATCCCTCCACCTGAGAATTCCTCATTCCAACTCTTAGAAACCGTGTTTAAGAAAGTGCTATGAGTTAGCCACATATTCTGAAACCTGAAAGCTTTTGGCCCTGTCTGAACTTGATTACTACATTGAACTACCATAGGGCAATGATCTGCTGGTGCTTGACTAAGATTATTGATTTTGATAGTATCAAAATGGTCAATGAATAATTCATTAAACAGGCATCTGTCTAATCTCCTCCATAATCTGCCAGTGGACCTCACCCCCGTCCAAGTATATTGACAACCACTATATGGTAGGTCTATAAGGTTACACTGGGAGATACAGTCTTTAAATTCCAGCATATTATAATAATAAATATATTAATATAATAATATAATAATATTAATATTTTAAATAATAAAATATTGGTCAATTGGTAAAAAAAAAAAACCCGATTGTTATGCGATTTTCTTCCATTCATTTTTTAGAGTGACAAATTGGTGAAAATAAAGAAACCCTAGTGATAAATTGATCAATTTTTTTAGAGTGACAAACTTTTGATCCCCGATTTTAGAATTCCCGATATTTCATATTATAAGTATTATGAAATTGACATTTGTCGCACTTTTACTTTGATTATGTCACCAAAAGTGGAGGTCTAAAAATGTTAACGACTGTGTTTGATAATAGCGGATGTTTGCTAGCTCATAGCCGGTTGTATCAACAGATTGATATAAGCGGATTCTGTTACGAGTAGTTTTTTAACTAACCACTTTCATTAGTGTTTTTAATACAATGGTTGCCACATCAGCCTATCCACGTCACTCAAACATATTCGTGTCATTCAATTTTAAGGACAAGTGCAGCTCTTAATGTATTCAAAAAGAAAATGGGCAGCAGGTTTCGAACTTGGGTGGGAGGAGAACCGGCGTATTTCTCCCATTCCTTTACCCATTAGGCAACATCATTCACACGTTCTTGGTGACTTTTTAGTTTAAATCTATTTGCTGAAAGGTGGGAGCCTCCCAAACAATTTGAAATATAATTAAAAACTTTTTTTTTGAAAGGAAATGTAATAAAATACTTAATTTAAGAAATGTGATTAAAACCTAAATATAAAAAACTTGAAATAAAAAAATATAAAAAACTTAGTTTGTGATATTTAATTAAAAAAATTAAAATGTCATTAAACTTATATAAAAAACATAATTTGAAATTTGAAATTAATGTTTTTTGAAATAACTCGAAAATAAATAAGTAAAAAATATATAAGTAACTTTAATTCTAGTCCCCAGACCATCCTAATTTAAAAAAATTATATGCTTTTATTGTAAAATATAATATACTCCCTCTCTCATGAGATTTTGTTATTATAAAATTTAATTAGGTCTTTATTTTTTCAATTATCTCAATTTTATTATTTTAATTAATTTTTAAAATTTTCTACTCCGTAGAAAGGATTTTATTTAGAAAAAAGTTATTACCACCAAAGTATATGATTTTTTACATTAAAAATATATAAAAAATTTATAGTTGGGATGGGCTAGGGACTAGAATTAAATTTACTTATTTAATTTACTATTTACGAGTTAATTCAATATTTTTAATTACATATTGCAAATTATGGTTTTTATATAAGTTCAATTACGTTTAAATTTTTTAATTAAATATCACAAATTAAGTTTTGCATTATAATTTGTATTTAATTTTTAATTTAATTTCTCTAATAAAGTTTTTAATTAGAATTTATCTAATTCTAGTGCAAATTAAATTTTTAATTATGTTTTTTATTAGCGTTAAAAAATTATGTCTTTTAATATATAAACATTCTATTTAAATACTAGAAAAAGTGATTATAGGGAAGTGAAAGGTGTAGCCCAGGTTCGAATCCTGGGTGTACAAAACTTTCACAAGTGTTACAAAAAAAAATTACCATGTGAAAATTACTAGAAAAATTATCATGTACAAATTTACAACACTTTTTCCACAAGTGTTACCATGTACGTAGTACTTGTAACTACGTTGTGTAAGTGTATAACTTACAAAAAAAAAACGTAGTACTTGTAATATTTATTCCTATATATGCAATTAAGTGGTAGTTGAAAATTTGTGTTAAGTTATACACTTACACAACGTAATTACATTAAAAATTATGTTAAGTCATAAACTTACCCAGAAATTTCATTTAGAAGAAGACTGACGATGCTAGTCAGTCCGGGGTGTTATGAACTTTCATTGTGAATAAACTTGTCGTAGAGCATTCGCCCAAGGTCTTGAAAATCTTTGTCTATTTCAATTTTGGGACCAATTGGAGCAACAATTCTAGTTAGTTTTATACGCCCTCCCCATACAACAATATTGTTTGGATCATTTAGATTTCCATGACCACCACCAAGACGTTTATGTAAACAGTTTACAACTTCCAGTAATTCCCTGAAAAAAGTAAAGAAATATTTAAATTTTGTAAATTGTAAATTTTACAAATTATAAAATTAAAATATGACTTAATTACCTTATTTGGTTCTTTGAAATATCAATAACATCCATGAAAGTTGTAGAATATGGATCATAGAAAAAATATGAGTAGGTGGGGGATACAAAGGAAAGGGACGCAACATAAAAGGAAGACTGGATAATGTCTGAGAGAAGTCAAATGATTGTTTCATTGCAATTGACTTCGAAGTCACCACTTTCATCAACACGGTCTTCCCAAAAGCTTCAGTTAGGCAAAAGTGGATCTGAACTTCATGTGTGCCTCGGATAAAGCTTGATTTCTTTATCCCTATAGGTTTCTCCAAGCTCTCTGGTAGTGGTGGTGGTTGTGTAGTAGACATTTTCTGTGAGAAGAGAAAGTGAGCGGTTTGTTGAACAGTAACCTAAGAAAATGCTCTCATACACCTCGTGTGTGAGCAGTTTTTACAGTAAAATAAAATAAGTAAATGCTGAGCAGTTGAACACTAACCCCAATAAAATAAGTAAATGCTGAGCAAATGTACACCCGTGAATGCTGAACTCCATAAGTAGTTTTTTTTGAAAGGGAACTCCATAAGTAGTTCAAAGTAGTAAATACGGAGTACTTGAAAAGTACACCGTGTGACAACAGCTTTTTGAAAATATCACGCAACCCAAAGCTGAAAGTGCTGCAGCTGCCAAACCCATTTCGGAGCTGAAATACCCATTGAAACAGAGGCTTTATTCTTATTAAAGCCCAAGTCAGATAAAATTATTTCCAACTACCCCAAAAATGCATTCGTGGTAAAAAAAAATACTTCCAACTATTTGAAATACTTACACAACGTAATTAATTAAAAATTATGTTAAGTCATAGGGGGTGGTGAATGATGTTGCCTAATGGGTAAAAGAATGGGAGAAATACGCCGGTTTTCCTCCCACCCAAGTTCGAAACCTGCTGCCCATTTTCTTTTTAAATACATTTTTGGGGTAGTTGGAAGTAATTTTATCACGAATACATTTTAAATACATTTTCGAAACCTGGAAGTATTTTTTTACCACGAATGCATTTTTGGGGTAGTTGGAAGTAATTTTATCTGACTTGGGCTTTAATAAGAATAAAGCCTCTGTTTCAATGGGTATTTCAGCTCCGAAATGGGTTTGGCAGCTGCAGCACTTTCAGCTTTGGGTTGCGTGATATTTTCAAAAAGCTGTTGTCACATGGTGTACTTTTCAAGTACTCCGTATTTACTACTCTCAACTACTTATGGAGTTCCCTTTCAAAAAAAAACTACTTATGGAGTTCAGCATTCACGGGTGTACATTTGCTCAGCATTTACTTATTTTAATTGGGTTAGTGTTCAGCTGCTCAACATTTACTTATTTTATTTTACTGTAAAAACTGCTCACACACGGGGTGTATGTGAGCATTTTCTTAGGTTACTGTTCAACAAACCGCTCACTTTCTCTTCTCACAGAAAATGTCTACTACACCACCACCACCACTACCAGAGAGCTTGGAGAAACCTATAGGGATAAAGAAATCAAGCTTTATCCGAGGCACACATGAAGTTCAGATCCACTTTTGCCTAACTGAAGCTTTTGGGAAGACCGTGTTGATGAAAGTGGTGACTTCGAAGTCAATTGCAATGAAACAATCATTTGACTTCTCTCAGACATTATCCAGTCTTCCTTTTATGTTGCGTCCCTTACTTTCCTTTGTATCCCCCACCTACTCATATTTTTTCTATGATCCATATTCTACAACTTTTATGGATGCTATTGATATTTCAAAGAACCAAACAAGGTAATTAAGTCATATTTTAATTTTATAATTTGTAAAATTTACAATTTACAAAATTTGAATACTTCTTTACTTTTTTCAGTGAATTACTGGAAGCTGTAAACTGTTTACATAAACGTCTTGGTGGTGGTCATGGAAATGTAAATGATCCAAACAATATTGTTGTATGGGGAGGGCGTATAAAACTAACTGGAATTGTTGCTCCAATTGGTCCCAAAATTGAAATAGACAAAGATTTTCAAGACCTTGGCCGAATGCTCTACGACAAGTTTATTCACAATGAAAGTTCATACCACCCCGGACTGACTAGCATCGTCAGTCTTCTTCTAAATGAAATTTCCGGGTAAGATTATGACTTAACATAATTTTTAATGTAATTACGTTGTGTAAGTGTATAACTTAACATAATTTTTCAACTAGCACTTAATTGCATATAGGAATAAATATTACAAGTACTACGTACATGGTAACACTTGTGGAAAAAGTGTTGTAAATTTATACATGATAATTTTTCTGGTAATTTTTACATGGTAATTGTTTTGGTAACACTTGTGAAAGTTTTGTACACCCAGGATTCGAACCTGGGCTACACCTTTCACTTCCCTATAATCACTTTTTCTAGTATTTAGATAGAATGTTTATATAATAAAAGACATAATTTTTTCAACGCTAATAAAAAACATAATTGAAAACTTAATTTGCACTAGAATTAGATAAATTCTAATTAAAAACTTTATTAGAGAAATTAAATTAAAAATTAAATACAAATTATAATGTAAAACTTAATTTGTGATATTTAATTAAAAAAATTAAACGTAATTGAACTTATATCAAAACCATAATTTGCAATATGTAATTAAAAATATTGAATTAACTCGTAAATACTAAATTAAATAAGTAAATTTAATTCTAGCCCATCCCAACTATAAAATTTTTATATATTTTTAAAGTAAAATATCATATACTTTGGTGGTAATAACTTTTTTCTAAATAAAATCCTTTCTACGGAGTAGTAAATTTTAAAAATTAATTAAAATAATAAAATTGAGATAATTAAAAAAATAAAGACCTAATTAAATTTTATAATAACAAAATCTCATGAGAGAGGGAGTATATTATATTTTACAATAAAAGCATATTATTTTTTTAAATTAGGATGTTCTGGGGACTAGAATTAAAGTTACTTATATATTTTTTACTTATTTATTTTCGAGTTATTTCAAAAAAAAAAATTAATTTCAAATTTCAAATTATGTTTTTTATATAAGTTTAATGACATTTTAATTTCTTTAATTAAATATCACAAACTAAGTTTTTATATTTTTTATTTTAAGTTTTTTATATTTAGGTTTTAATCGTATTTCTTAAATTAAGTATTTTATTACATTTCCTTTCAAAAAAAAGTTTTTAATTATATTTCAAATTGTATGGGAAGCTCCCACCTTTCAGCAAATAGATTTAAACTAAAAAGTCACCAAGAACGTGTGAATGATGTTGCCTAATGGGTAAAGGAATGGGGGAAATACGCCGGTTCTCCTCCCACCCAAGTTCGAAACCTGCTGCCCATTTTCTTTTTGAATACATTAAGAGCTGCACTTGCCCTTAAAATTGAATGACACGAAAATGTTTGGGAGACGTGGATAGGCTGATGTGGCAACCATTGTTGTATTAAAAACACTAATGAAAGTGGTTAGTTAAAAAACTACTCGTAACAGAATCCGCTTATATCAATCTGTTGATACAACCGGCTATGAGCTAGCAAACAACCGCTATTATCAAACACAGTCGTTGACATTTTTATGACATAATCTCCACTTTTGGTGACATAATCAAAGTAAAAGTGCGACAAATGTCAATTTCATAATACTTATAATATGAAATATCGGGAATTCTAAAATCGGGGATCAAAAGTTTGTCACTATAAACAAATTGACCAATTTATCACTAGGGTTTCTTTTTTTCACCAATTTGTCACTCTAAAAAATGAATGGAAGAAAATCGCATAACAATCGGGTTTCCTTTTTTTACCAATTGACCAATATTTTATTATTTAAAATATTAATATTATTATATTAATATATTATTATTAATATCAATAACAATGATTGTAATATAATAATTATAATAGTAATACTTATAATTAATATAATAATAAAAGTGATAAATTACGTTTGAATTTTTCTGATCTGATTTAAATGTTTCTGATCTGAATGTTTCTGATTTGTTCTGATCTGAATTTTTCTAGTCTGATCCGATCTGAATAAAATAAGAATAACGAATAAGTAATAAGATTAAGACGAAGAGAACAGCTTCTTAGTCTTTACTTTCCCCTCTTCCCTCCAAAATCTTCCTTTCGGCTTAAGGTTAAGAGCTTGAACAATGCCAAAAGGGTAGTTGGAAGTAATTTTATTGGTGTAGTTGGAAGTATTTTTTTACCACGAATACATTTTTGGGCTAGTTGGAAGTAATTTTATTTGACTTGGGCTTTAATATTAATAAGAATAAAGCCTCTGTTTCAATGGGTATTTCAGCTCCGAAATGGGTTTGGCAGCTGTAGCACTTTCAGCTTTGGGTTGCGTGATATTTTCAAAAAGCTGTTGTCACATGGTGTACTTTTCAAGTACTCCGTATTTACTACTCTCAACTACTTATGGAGTTCCCTTTCAAAGAAAAAAAACTACTTATGGAGTTTAGCATTCACGGGTGTACATTTGCTCAGCATTTACTTATTTTATTGGGGTTAGTGTTAAACTGCTCAGCATTTACTTATTTTATTTTACTGTACAACTGCTCACACACGGGTTGTATGAGAGCATTTTCTTAGGTTATTGTTCAACAAACCGCTCACTTTCTCTTCTCACAAAAAATGTCTACTACACCACCACCACTATAAATTTGTGATATTTAATTAGAAAATTTAAACGTAATTGAACTTATATAAAAACCATAATTTGCAATATGTAATTAAAAATATTGAATTAACTCGTAAATAGTAAATTAAATAAGTAAATTTAATTCTAGTCCCTAGCCCATCCCAACTATAAATTTTTTATATATTTTTAATGTAAAAAATCATATACTTTGGTGGTAATAACTTTTTTCTAAATAAAATCCTTTCTACGGAGTAGAAAATTTTAAAAATTAATTAAAATAATAAAATTGAGATAATTGAAAAAATAAAGACCTAATTAAATTTTATAATAACAAAATCTCATGAGAGAGGGAGTATATTATATTTTACAATAAAAGCATATAATTTTTTTAAATTAGGATGGTCTGGGGACTAGAATTAAAGTTACTTATATATTTTTTACTTATTTATTTTCGAGTTATTTCAAAAAACATTAATTTCAAATTTCAAATTATGTTTTTTATATAAGTTTAATGACATTTTAATTTTTTTAATTAAATATCACAAACTAAGTTTTTTATATTTTTTTATTTCAAGTTTTTTATATTTAGGTTTTAATCACATTTCTTAAATTAAGTATTTTATTACATTTCCTTTCAAAAAAAAAGTTTTTAATTATATTTCAAATTGTTTGGGAGGCTCCCACCTTTCAGCAAATAGATTTAAACTAAAAAGTCACCAAGAACGTGTGAATGATGTTGCCTAATGGGTAAAGGAATGGGAGAAATACGCCGGTTCTCCTCCCACCCAAGTTCGAAACCTGCTTAATAACCAAAGGCAGCCCACTGCCAGCAGTTACATCTGAATATGGAGCACTGCCAGCAGGTGGCTCACCAACAGACAACCTTCCGAGCACTTATGACATTCCTAATCACACTATTCTACCAGAGGATAGTGAAGATGAAGAAGAGAAGGAGGATGACCAACAAACTCTAGCCAAAACAACCACATCTGATGTTAGATGGTTGAGCAAACATCCTCCTCACCAAATTATTGGAAGTATCAATACAGGGGTTCGTACCAGATCAGCAATTCAGAGAGAAGCACTCTTCTCATGCTTCATCTCCCAAATGGAACCCAAGAAAATTGAAGAAGCCCTACTTGACTCTGACTGGATACAAGCCATGCAAGAAGAACTCAACCAGTTTGAAAGAAACAATGTATGGGAGCTTGTGTCCAGACCCTATCATCAACATGTGATAGGAACTAAATGGGTATTCAGAAACAAAATGGATGAGGAAGGCACCATTGTCAAGAACAAGGCAAGACTGGTAGCCAAAGGCTACTGCCAGGAAGAAGGTATAGATTTTGATGAAACCTTTGCTCCTGTTGCCAGATTAGAAGCAATAAGAATATTCTTGGCTTATGCTGCTCATAAGCAATTCAAAGTCTATCAAATGGATGTGAAAAGTGCCTTCCTAAATGGTCTACTAGAAGAGGAGGTCTATGTGGAGCAACCTCCTGGCTTTGAAATCAATAGAGAGAAGGATCAAGTCTACAAGCTACACAAAGCTCTATACGGACTCAAGCAAGCCCCAAGAGCATGGTATGACACTCTCTCTCAATACTTAGTGAATAATGGATTCACTAAAGGCAAAGTAGACAAGACTTTATTCAAAATTGAAGAAGGCCCCCACATATTGCTTGTTCAAATCTATGTTGATGACATAATTTTTGGAAGTTCAAATCAAGCATTGTGTGAGAAATTTTCAACTCTCATGCAAAGCAAGTTTGAAATGAGCATGATGGGAGAGTTAAACTATTTTCTGGGACTACAAGTGAAGCAGACTCCCAATGGTATCTTCATCAACCAAGCCAAATATACAAGAGATCTCATGAAAAAGTTCAAGGTTGAAAACAAGTCAACTGTGAAAATACCCATAAATACATCCCAAGGCCTAAGTCAGGATGAAGATGGCAAAGATGTTGATCCCACCCTGTACAGAGGTCTGATTGGCTCCTTGTTATATCTCACCACTAGTAGGCCAGATATCTCCTACTCAGTTGGTGTATGTGCAAGGTTTCAATCAAAGCGTAAGGAAAGTCATCTTCTAGCTGCCAAGAAGATTTTGAGGTATCTAAAAGGCAATCCTAACTCTGGACTATGGTACCCAACAAATGGAGGTTTTGAACTCTATGGTTATTCAGACTCTGACTTTGCCGGATGCAAAATTGATAGAAAAAGCACCTCAGGAACTTGTAAATTAATTGGTGGAAGACTTGTCTCTTGGTTCAGCAAGAAACAGAACTCAATTGCTACTAGCACCGCCGAAGCAGAATACATAGCTGCAGGCAGCTGCTGTGCTCAAATACTATGGATGAAACAGCAGTTGAAGGATTATGGAGAAGAAACAAAGGAGATTAGCATACTGTGTGATAACACTAGTGCTATTGCTATCACTCATAATCCAGTCTTTCATTCAAGAACCAAACACATTGAGATCAGACATCACTTTATCAGAGAGCATGTTGAGAAGAAGACCATCAAGCTTGAGTACATCCCTACGGAAAAGCAGTTGGCTGACATCTTCACCAAGCCATTGAATGAAGCTAGATTCAACCAACTAATGCAAGAACTTGGTATGTTAGATGATCTAGATCAAGTGAAGGAATAACCCTGCATCTATTCAGGGGGAACCTTATTCCAAAATCGAGGGGGAATCCCTAGCCACCTGCTGAGGGGGAACCTCTATGAAGTACTCAGAAAGTAGCCACCTGCCAAGAGTAAGCTACTTAAAATCTCAAGGAATGAAGCATACAGGTCCAAGAAAGTCGATATCAGGCTTTCAAATTTTGCAAGGTGTTAAAGTTCGAGAGATTGGCTCAGCAGCTGACTGCATTCTAGCTAGCAGCAAGCTCAGCAAGTGCCTGGCAACTAGCCCACTGCTACCTACATAAGGACAAGGAGTGCATTAATACTTTCTTAAAGTGGAAGACAAGTCTAGAAGAAGGAAAGAAAAATGGGAGTAACAACCCTGGCTCACAGGCTCGAACAGATGCCTGCCAGCAGATGACTGACCCAAGAGCAGGTCACTGCTTGAAGCCAGCAGTTGGCTCAATTTTTGACCAACACACATGGAATCAGAACACATAGCATACACCATCTTGATCCCCACATATCAAGGATTCCAAACAGGTAATTTTTAATCTCAAACCACGTCTGGGATATACCCAAAATTGAGCCTCATGCTGCCTACACGAACACATTCAATGCTGAAAAGGTCCGCCGCATTTTCCAACGGCTATATCTCAACGGCTAGTTCCCGATAGCCTATAAATACCTTCTCCGTACAATCCATCAACACTTTCTACTTAGCAATCTCTTTCTACCTATTTCAAATCTCTCAAATTTTCTTTAAAGCATTCTCAAAAGCTCTCTTATACACAACCACCACAAACCATTCCATTCTCCATATACACCCAAATGGCCTCCCTTGTCCAAATTTCCAAATCCATCTTCACTGGGTCCATCCTAAACACTCCAAAAATTCTTGAGAAAGCAGAGAACAAGGATCTCATGATGTAACTTCTCAGAAAGCTAGAAACTACAGGACTCATGAAAATGGCCACCTACCCTTACCCCTGCTTCTACCCCGAGGTGGTAGCAGAGTTCTACATCAACTCCACGCCTAAAACACTGAAATCTGTGGTACGAGGAGTTGAAGTGGAGATCAAGGAGGAGGAAATCAGGGAACTACTATCCCTACCTGGATATGAGTTCCCACAAGTAGAAGATCTCAACCTCGATGAAGAAAGCTTCAAAGAAAAAGTCTTCATTCAAAGAGCTCAAAACCTCAACACCCTTAAAGTAAAGAAGAAGATGATGGTGCACGAATACTCTCTCCTAATAGACATCCTCTATAAATGCATTGACACAAGAACCACAGCACTAGACGAGATGAATGCACAAAGAGCAAAGCCACTAGCAGCCATTATCTCAGGATCCCCACACAACTGGACCAGGTATGTTTACAAAGAGCTTGTAAACTACATCAATAAATCTCACAAAGGAAGAGGAGAAGGCGGTACCCTACCACTGCTTGGATATGGGTTCCTCATTGGGGAGATTCTCAAGAGAAAAGGCATAGTAGGAGAAATCAAAGAAGAGACCAACTGGAGGAAATTCCTCCACCAAACCTCCAAAGCTGGGGCTCCACAAATACCAAGGGAAGACCCCTCCTTTGTCTCCAATGAACTCCTCTTGGTATCCTTCAAAGTTGATACCAAGACAGCCAAAAGACTACGCTCAGGGTGTCAAGACCCTAAATCCAAGAAACAAAGAACAGCAACAAGGAATCTGCAAGACGGACTTGACGAGGCGGCCTCATTCATCCAAGAAAAAGAAGCAGTGGCCTCTCCTCTAGCCATCATACAAGAAGAAGCAGAGTCCCCTTCCAACTCGTCTGGTGGAAGCAACAGCTCTGCTCTCCCTCTCTCTGTCCTAATTCCCAGACTAACTCAGCAAGGAGAACAGGTGGCTCCCTCATCTCCAGTAGTGAACTCACTCAAGATAACTCCACTAGAAGAAGAGCAGGTGACTCAAAAAGAAGAGCAGGTGGCTCTCTTACTAGAGAAGGTGGGTCTCCTAGAACCAGAGCACGAGACTCCATTGCACGAACAGGTGCCTCCATCTCCTGCAGGTAGCTCACCAAACTTGACTCCACTAGAGCAACTAGAGGCACAATTCACCAGAGTTAAACAATGGAGAAAGTGGAAACTAACAAAAATCCGGGATCAAGCAGAGACCCTACAATACTTCATTGATGAAGAAGACTTTGCATTGGAGTGGTTGGGCACAGAGGATCTTGCCAAAGCAACCAACCTTCATCAAATAAACCAAGTCTACGCCATTAAGAAAAATGATCTCACTGCCAAGAAACCAATCACAAACAACAATGCTGAGGATGATCTAGATGATGATGATGATGATGATGATGATGATGATAATGATGCTGACAATGCCCTCCAAGGACCTCCTAGTTCACGAGGTAAACAAATCATTTCCTCTTCCTCCTCTAGTGATAAAGAATTAAGGAGAGTCCTGGAGAAATCAAGGATGGAAACTCATGGAGGAGGAGAGTCTTCCAAAGCCCCCCCAGGAACAATTGGCTGCTACTTCCCAGCAGGAGACTCCACTCATAGACCTAAACATGGAACTAGAACAAGAGGAAATCCCAGAGCAGGAACCTACATCATCACATGACCACAAAGACCGCATTCTCCACGATGGTGAAGAAGACACTCCCACACTAGCAGAAGTCTTCATCAACGAAAGAAGGGCAATAATAAAGTTCATCAGTAATGCGGAGGTGCGACTACACAAGAGATTGATCAAAATGAAGAAACATTTTGAAGAACTCATTGACTTGAGGTTCATAGAAGTTCACAGGCACATCAAGAGCAACCTCATGATACAACAAGTGTTCAACTCTGAGCAAAAGGCTCAACTCCAGATTCAGCTTGCAAACCAACCAGCTCAGATTGAGGCAATCCACAAAGCTCTTGAAGAACTTCGAGCTCGAGATAAAGAACTAGAAAATCAAATTCTAGCGTATCAACAAGCACACACAGCGGCAGGTGCCTCTCAAGCTGGAGCAGACCCTCTGCTCAGGTAAATTCTCTCCCTAATTTATCCACTAATCTCGAGCAGGCCATTCACACAATTCAAGCGCATGAGGAATTCATACAACATCTCAAGTCCAAGGAACTGCCTGCTGTCCTTCAACTCTCCCAGAAAATGGTTACAAAACAGGTAGAACATTCAGAAGCCATTGGAAAAACAAGAGCTGATGTTGCTAAGCATCTCACTGATCTGCACAAAGCTACTCAAGAGGCCTTCCTTAAACAAGGAAATGAACTTAAGAAACTTGGTCATCACCAACAAACAACAAATCAGCAGCTTCAAAACCTGGACCGAGTAGTCAAAGAGGACGTCAAGGTGGACCTAACGGATCTTCGTAACAATGTCCTTGCACTAGCTATTGAGGTCAACGACCTACGTCCAACTAGGGGACAACAAATTGACGTTGACTCTGATCCAGAAATAGAGGCTCTATTCCGAGAAAGCTACACCCCTGCTGATGCCAAAAAGGGGGAAGGGACAACACAAGCAGGCCCCTCTTATAATCGATCTCTGGCAGCAAAGAAAGCAGCTGCAACACGAAGAAAAAACCAACTCTACAAAGAAGAAGCTGAGATAAGAAGAAGAAAGGAAGAAGAGGCCAAAGCCAAAGAAGAAGCTGCTAAGAAAAAAACAAGAATAGATTAGTTCTCAAGTCCGAAAGTGACTAAAAACTATTGTACTTTAGACTGTAGATCAATGTACAATATTCTCAATGCAAATCAATAAAAACAGTTGTTTCCTGTGTTGTATAGTTTTGGCATCATCAAAAAGGGGGAAATTGTTAGTACACAATTTTTGATAGATTTTGATGATGCCACTATACTAAACAGTTGTACATTGAGTCTTATTTGCAAAAATAACATTTAAATTTAAATCATAAGTGACAAAAAAAATGTACAATCTTTAAGATTTATGATATATTACCGGATACATAAAAATGCAATAAGGTAACTTTTTACCTTCATAGGATATTTAAATCCTACCGGCATATATCATTTTACTCAAAGATTAACTATAGGTCACATTTAAGATGCTCGAATACATTGAATGTATGATTGGAAGACAAAAGTTGACCAGCATTAAATACACGGTCCTACAGCATGGGAAGATTTCTTGGAGTGAAGCTGCAGCGGCTGAAGACAGACCCATGTCGCGGCCCAATTATTCAAGACAGAAAACAAAAGGATTAAAAGCTCCTGCACAAGAAGACGAATGTACAATTCGTCCTAACCAGACCCTCAACGCACAAGATTAATCCATCTCAACCAACGGATGAGATTAATCAACCATGAAGGCCTATAAATATAGGTAGAAGCATGAGTTCTAAAATAGGCTTGAGCATCCTAAGTAGAGAAATACTTTCATCAAAGCATATACGAGCTATTTAGCAAAAGAGAAAGTGCAAAGTCAACTTTACTCTCTGCTTAGCCTCATGCTTCACTAAGCTCTTAGATTAGATCAACACTTTCACATTTTTAGAGCTTAGTTCATAGTTGGAGGTTAGAACTTTCTTGTAACATTTCACAAGTGGTTGTAAACACTTAGGAGAACAGTTGTTCGGATCCTAAAGTGTAGTTAGATAGATAGAGTACCTTTTGATCCCCACTGGATCAATTGAGAAAAGACTAAGGACTGAGTAACTTTGAGTGGTGTCATACTCATTGTGAAAAACCACCAATCTAGGCCTAAGTGTTGTAAAGGCTAGATTGGCACTAAGTGTATTGGGCTTAATACTTTAGTGGAAATCCATCTGAAATAGGGTGGGACTGGACGTAGGAGGATTACACCACCTCTGAACCAGGATATATCATGTGTTGATTTACTTTCACTCAGCAGAGCACACACCCAACACTTCTCACTAAAGGGATCGTAGTTTGCCAGCAGCATCCTAAGCAGTAGTCTTAATTGACTCTACTGCTTATCCTACTGCTTAATAACTCACTTTTCCTTAAGACAACTGTTTCACACGAGCTTTGGAATACCACTACTAAAAGGTTTGGTTTGCCAGTTCTCAGAAATACTCCTTTCATATACAGCAGGTGGCTTAGCAGTTTATTGGGTTTACCCAACTGCTCAGACCTCTGCTCAGGCAAAACTCCTCATCATCACCAGCTCAGCACATATTCAGCAAGCCTTCATCATTCTGCATAAGGCCATATTATCATCCTTCTTAAACTCCCATTTTCCACTAGCAGTTGCCTTAGCAGTTCCCTGCCATCTAGGCAACTGCCAAGCCAACTGCTCACTGTTTAAAGTCCAAACATCATTCAAGCTAGAAAGTTGTCACACACTCATTACATAAAGGGTAAAGACTTCCGCTGTGCATCTATTAATCTCTCAAAAGATTATAGATCAATTCATCTAGAGGAAAAACTTCATAAAGTTGAAAAAGACTTAAAAGTCTATTCACCCCCCCCCCCCTAGACTTTTACCCTATCCGGGACCATCACTACTCTCAACTACTTATGGAGTTCCCTTTAAAAAAAACTACTTATGGATTGCAGCATTCACGGGTGCACATTTGCTCAGCATTTACTTATTTTATTGGGGTTAGTGTTCAACTGCTCAGCATTTACTTATTTTATTTTACTGTACAACTGCTCACACACGGGGTGTATGAGAGCATTTTCTTAGGTTACTGTTCAACAAACCGCTCACTTTCTCTTCTCACAGAAAATGTCTACTACACCACCACCACTACTACCAGAGAGCTTGGAGAAACCTATAGGGATAAACAAATCAAGCTTTATCCGAGGCACACATGAAGTTCAGATCCACTTTTGCCTAACTGAAGCTTTTGGGAAGACCGTGTTGGTGAAAGTGGTGACTTCGAAGTCAATTGCAATGAAACAATCATTTGACTTCTCTCAGACATTATGCAGTCTTCCTTTTATTTTGCGTCCCTTACTTTCCTTTGTATCCCCCACCTACTCATATTTTTTCTATGATCCATATTCTACAACTTTCATGGATTCTATTGATATTTCAAAGAACCAAATAAGGTAATTAAGTCATATTTTAATTTTATAATTTTGTAAAATTTACAATTTACAAAATTTGAATACTTCTTTACTTTTTTCAGGGAATTACTGGAAGCTGTAAACTGTTTACATAAACGTCTTGGTGGTGGTCATGGAAATCTAAATGATCCAAACAATATTGTTGTATGGGGAGGGCGTATAAAACTAACTAGAATTGTTGCTCCAATTGGTCCCAAAATTGAAATAGACAAAGATTTTCAAGACCTTGGGCGAATGCTCTACGACAAGTTTATTCACAATGAAAGTTCATACCACCCCGGACTGACTAGCATCGTCAGTCTTCTTCTAAATGAAATTTCTGGGTAAGTTTATGACTTGACATAATTTTTAATGTAATTACGTTGTGTAAGTGTATAACTTAACACAAATTTTCAACTACCACTTAATTGCATATAGGAATAAATATTACAAGTACTACGTTTTTTTTTGTAAGTTATACACTTACACAACGTAGTTACAAGTACTACGTACATGGTAACACTTGTGGAAAAAGTGTTGTAAATTTGTACATGATAATTTTTTCTGGTAATTTTTACATGGTAATTTATTTTGGTAACACTTGTGAAAGTTTTGTACACCCAGGATTCGAACCTGGGCTACACCTTTCACTTCCCTATAATCACTTTTTCTAGTATTTAGATAGAATGTTTATATAATAAAAGACATAATTTTTTCAACGCTAATAAAAAACATAATTGAAAACTTAATTTGCACTAGAATTAGATAAATTCTAATTAAAAACTTTATTAGAGAAATTAAATTAAAAATTAAATACAAATTATAATGTAAAACTTAATTTGTGATATTTAATTAGAAAATTTAAACGTAATTGAACTTATATAAAAACCATAATTTGCAATATGTAATTAAAAATATTGAATTAACTCGTAAATAGTAAATTAAATAAGTAAATTTAATTCTAGTCCCTAGCCCATCCCAACTATAAAATTGTTATATATTTTTAATGTAAAATATCATATACTTTGGTGGTAATAACTTTTTTCTAAATAAAATCCTTTTTACGTTGTAGTAAATTTTAAAAATTAATTAAAATAATAAAATTGAGATAATTAAAAAAATAAAGACCTAATTAAATTTTATAATAACAAAATCTCATGAGAGAGGGAGTATATTATATTTTACAATAAAAGCATATAATTTTTTTAAATTAGGATGGTCTGGGGACTAGAATTAAAGTTACTTATATATTTTTTACTTATTTGTTTTCGAGTTATTTAAAAAAAAAAATTCAAATTTCAAATTATGTTTTTTATATAAGTTTAATGACATTTTAATTTTTTTAATTAAATATCACAAACTAAGTTTTTTATATTTTTTTATTTCAAGTTTTTTATATTTAGGTTTTAATCACATTTCTTAAATTAAGTATTTTATTACATTTCCTTTCAAAAAAAAAGTTTTTAATTATATTTCAAATTGTTTGGGAGGCTCCCACCTTTCAGCAAATAGATTTAAACTAAAAAGTCACCAAGAACGTGTGAATGATGTTGCCTAATGGGTAAAGGAATGGGAGAAATACGGCGGTTCACCTCCCACCCAAGTTCGAAACCTGCTGCCCATTTTCTTTTTGAATACATTAAGAGCTGCACTTGCCCTTAAAATTGAATGACACGAAAATGTTTGAGTGACGTGGATAGGCTGATGTGGCAACCATAGTGATAATTAGATGACATGGCAAAAAAATGTCATGATTTGGGAAATAAGTTTCGAAACTCCACCTCTTTAGGGAAAAACCTCAAGAAAAATGTGCTTCACAAAATTTCACTTTACTATACCTAAATCTTAACTATAACTTTTACTTTTTCAACATCTTTATTAAAAATTGTGTTGAAAAAGATAGATTATTGCAACTGTATGTCTATGTTGTTAAAAATTAACAATCCAGGCATCCAGCCGTTTACTCTCGGCTGCTTGAGAAGCGTAGGCATCTATTAATTATTGGGAAAAGGGGCAAATAAGCCCTCGAACTATTAAAAAAAGTGCAAATAAGCCCTTTTGTAGGAGGTTCTATCCGATCATCGTCATTTGGGGAGGTTCTCGGTGGAATTTTTTGATGAATTTTTTTGAGCATCTTCTTCATTAAGTCTAGTTTAGCCATACCGAATTTCAGCTAAAAATTCAACCGGGAAGGCACTCAAATGATTTTCGGAAAAATACTGCGTTGTTTAACTGCTCAGTTATCTTCAAAAATTCATTTGACTATCTTCCCGGTTGAATTTTTAGCTGAAATTCAGTAGGACTAAACTAGACTTAATGAATAAGATGCTCAAAAATTTTCATCAAAAAATTCCACCGTGAACCTCCCCAAATGACGATGACCGGACGAAACCTCCTACAAAAGGGCTTATTTGCACTTTTTTGATTAGTTCGAGGGCTTATTTGCCCCTTTTCCCTTAATTATTAATTAATCTCTATATTGAGAACTATAACAAAGTAAATCAACAATGTACATTAATAAAAAAGTCAAAAATAAAAGAAAAATAAAGTCAACTTTCTCTTTGAAGTATTAATTAATTATTAATTAATCTTCATATTAAGAACTAGAAGAAAATAAATTCACAAAGTTCACAAAGTTCCTATGTACGTTTTGGCATATTTTGTATTTTTTAAATGTTAAATCTTTTGTTGAAGTTGTGATTTTATTTAACTCGAGATTTTTATTTCAGGCCATTCTAATACACATTAGATGTTTATTTTTAGGCTAAAAGGTCAAATAGGTCCTCGAACTAATTTAAAAAGTGCAACTCACCCCTTATAAGCTTATATAAAAGGCTCTGTTCGGTCGTCGTCAATTGGGGCGGTTCCCGGTTGAATTTTTTTATGAAAATTTTTGAACATCTTTTTCATTAAGTCTAATTTACTCATATCAAATTTCAGCTAAAATTTCAATCGAGAAGGCAGTCAAATGATTTTTTAAAGATAACTGCGCAGTTAAACAACACAATACATTTCAGAAAATCATTTGACTGTCTTTCTGGTTGAGTTTTTATCTAAAATTTGGTATGCATAAACTAGACTTGATGAAGAAGATGCTAAAAAATTTCATAAAAAAATTTCACCGGTGGAGCAAGTGGAGCAAATAGGGGATCATTGCTAAACTTGGGGAAGGAGTAAAATGCATGTGATAAATAGGTTATTCCAGCATTCTTAGATACACACGATAAACTACGATCATACATATACACATAGTCTATTATTCTGTAATCCAAGCATATTGCTCAAGCTATTCATTATTGTAACTAGTAAACTCACCCGTGCGATGCACGGTTTGAGAATTTTTCTTTCAAATGCATGTGTACTTAGTAAATTAAAATCACACTATCAATTAATTTAATGACAACATCTATCTTCATGTGATACTCATATAAATCAAAGCATTAAACGAAACACACTTATAATGTTATGGTCAAAATAAGATTACTAAGCATTACTTAAAAGATAAAGAACGTTCAACAAATACGTAGAAATCATAACAATGTAAATATGCATTGAAATCGATATCCTGACAATACTAAAGCATTACTTCCGGGTACTTCTTATTGGCCCCCATCCATGTTGTGAACATTTTGTCTTTAACTGAACATACCTGAACCACTGAATTCAGAGCCTGATCATCGCGAAAGACAACACTTTGTTCTTTCGGCAAATGGAAGCTCAAAGTTATACTATATAAAGTTTTTATAGTATGTATCGTGCACTATAACGTAGATTGGTTATTATAAACTCAACCACACAAAGTTGAATATGACTAAAAAACGCACTTTCAGCAACAAAACCAACACATTTTAGCTTGCACTAACTTATGTCAAAATCATTTCTTTTAGTAAACTGTTTTGCTAATAATTTACCTTGTGATGTGCAAATGATTTTGTAATTTTTTTTTTCATTTTCAAAGGTTTATATAAATTAATTGAAGGTAACTTATTTTTAATGACTAAGCAATAAGGTGACTATCAGTTTACACGAATTGCATTTTTTAGACGAATTGTCTCTCTAAATAGATAAAATAAGGGAGTAAAATATGTGAAAGTGTGTTATGTCATTCTTGAATCATTCTTGAATTATTGTAAATCTGAATTTGTGAAAAAATGTTCAAACAGGTGCTTCTACTGTTTCTACTATCCAAGTATGGTCTGGTCTGGTTTGTTTAAGTTTGGTTTGGTTTGAGACGGAAATAAGTCTAAGTATATAAACATCTTAAGTAATATGGTGACTATGCATTTATACGAATTGCATTTGTTATACGAATTGCTCGGGTAAATTGGCAAATCAGGGGGGTGTGCAAATGTGTGAAAGTGTGTTATGGCATTATTAAACAATGCTCAAATATGAATTCGTGAGAAAATGTTAGTTGAGTCTGTATATGAAAAGTAATGCTATCATTTAAGCACAATAGTTTTCGTGACACATTCAATAGGTAGAATCTGTAATAGTTCTTAATTCAAAAATATGTACAACTCCAGCGCGATGCTCGGTTGGTGAAATTTTTAGGGCGAAATTTTTACTCAAATTAGGGGAAAAAAAAACATGCACAATAATCAAGTTTGATGTAAAATGAAATATATTCAATATGATTTACGGAGTATCAATGATTGTGGAGTAGCACACAAATGTGTATAGTCTAACAAAATAGTAATACTCAATACAAATATAATTTGAAAACAAATTACAATCTATGCTTGACTTTATGAAAAACTTATTTATACAAAAAATTGTTGTATAGAATGTAACTATTTTGACAAATATATCTATTTCGAAAATAGATATATAAACTTATTCTATGCTTCACAGAGATTAACTTAGTTCGAAAATAGCAGAGGTGTGTATATAATGAAAAAAAAAGTGTATATAATGAAAGATGATTTAATTTTTAATTTGTTGTGCTCTTCTATAACTAAAAAATTAATAATTCTTACATAGAACCAAAACAAAAATAGAAATCAATAGGTTTGGGCATTGTCCTTTAAAAAAACGGGTTTGGGCATTGACCCCAAAAAATGACAACCAAACCAATTTTAATAGGACAATCTAGAGCAGCCCAACACTTCCAGTATGACCAATACACTGGCCCATCGATATAGCCCACATGCAAACCCAATAACATGGGGTTTATAACCGAACGGTGAAAACGTACGACCCCCATTCAAACCCTCCCCTTTCTTCGCCGACATGCACCCACCTTCAACGTTCCCTCTCACCTAACACAATCGACACTCATCCGCCATTTTTCAAAGCGATCGAAAAAATCCTGTGATCCTCACACTTAATCGACCCTTTCCAGCCCGTATCCCATAGTGAAGCAACAACCGGACGAACGTCGGCAGAATCCAGCGTCAATCTGCCACCTGAGCTACGCGGCAATGGTAAGATCGAAGATCTGGTTCCCTACAACTCACGCCACCACTAAGTGGAAAACATGTTTTCTAAAGAATAAACAACCTAAAAACTGTTTTTTTTTTTGTTATTACAACATAATAACTCTACAGATCTAGAACTTCCATGGCCATGGCTCCATAAACAATTCACTCTTCCGCCTTAAATTAATGTCCACTGTAAGAACTAAAACTGTCCACTTCACGAACCACGTCTTCATTTGCACGTTTTTTCACGAATAAGCAACGACAACCCGATTTTATATGAACAACATCGACCAAAGCCTACAGATCTGGAAGATCTATGCTCATGGTTCTAAATTGTTTTCATTTCCCGTTTTTTCATCATTTTTTAGAAGAGATTAATTTAATTATTTTGATATATTTATCGTATGATACACGTGTTTTTTTTTTTGAAAAGGAAAGTTTTATTAAAGAACAAATAAGGGAAGTACAAGATAGACAAAAGCAACAAACAAGGAAAAAAAATACAAAAGGACATATAATCCTAACTAAAAACCAACCCTAAGTGCAATAGAAGAGTCCTCCCTATAAACCCATATCTCACTCATAGTTGTCGAAATCCTCGTATGATACACGTGTTTTAACAAATAAGCAACCTAAAAACGATTTCTTGTGAACAACATCATCGAAACCATACAGACCTGGAAGAGTGGAAGATCTGCGTTAATAGTTAAAAAGCTTTTTCATTTCCAGATCATGTTGATTATTGTTTATGCATGGGTCGGTAATGCGCATACAACATCTGTGTTTGCATTTTTAACAAAAAAACACATTCAATTTTTCAATAAGTTAGAATAACTCATACAAAACATTAAAGTAAATCCAACATTCTTTGTGGACGTTTTTAACCCTGTTTTTTTAAATTAATTAAAAAATAAACAAATAAGTTTGTTTCATTCCAAATAAATATTTTTCCCCACATACGAATATCCATGCGTAATGTCATCAATGTTATTCTGAAACTGTATTTGTCTACAATTTTCTGAAAAGGACAACATATTTCAAGCCTTTGAGGATGTAAATATTGGTTTTTTATATGGATCTATTCGAGAATATTGAATAGGTGTTCGATACGTATTTTTAGTATTCTGTTCATACAGATTTTTCAACATTTTTGAGGATGTAAACTTTGTTCAATTATTTTAAACAGACGCTTCAAAACTTTATTTTTTTTAAATAGACACTTCAAACATTTTTTAAGTTTTTTAGACAGTTTTTGTCATCATTTTTTTTAAATCAGACACTTTAATACAGAGTATTTTTTTAAGAGACACTTTAATTAAAAAAAATTAAGCAGACACTTTATCATTTTTTTAAACAGACACTTTAATCAAGACATTTGTCCAGTGCAATAGTTTGTATAGGGTCCCACCACATTTAAAGTTTTTACACATGTACACACATACTACGCAGTATTAATGCTAATACTTCCACCAACTCTCATTTGGAATGCAGAACTATGGATATATTTGCTCTGAGTGACCATTGTTTCTGTGTTTTGTACCCCTTTGTAATTTAAAATTAATTTCATGTATCTCAATTTGTAAGTTTGGGATGTAATAATTTAATAATTAGGCTTAGATTATGATAGAATTAGGACGGGAGCAGAGACAGTGATCCCAGGTATATCTCTTGAACCCACTTTTTTTATCCACCTTACAATTATAACATCACTCAAGCGGTTATTAAAACCACTCTATTATATTAAATGACTATCAAAAACTTTATCAATGTCATAAAAACATGTCAAGGAATACGGACACAAAAACAATCACTACAAAATTTGTGGCATTAAAATCTAATAGTGTTTTCATTAATCACATACATAATTGAATAACAAATGAATCCCAAACTTTTTAGTCCAGTAAATAAGTAGGTTGATACTACAAAGCAAAGTGTATTCAGCTGTAAAGTAGATTGAGCCACAAACTTTTTTGTAAAGAAATTCAGATGTCGTCTTCTAACCATTATAGCTCCATACAACCCATCACACATAGATACTATTTATTTAACGCTGCATACCTAAAATGCATAGATTTATCCCTGGCAACACCATCACCTTTTAGTCTTTCAATCTTAACAACCTTCATCTTCTTCATTGGCATTGTTGAAAAATATTTCCAAAAATATCTCTATTGACGCTGTCCCCATGAATTTCTAGGGCAATCCTCTTTTCTTTGAACAATGGCATGGTTGGATACACTTCTTGGGAAGACCTAGGAACAATTAGTATTAAAATTAATATAAACAAAATAAGCATGTGTAAACATTTTCGTTGCAAGAAAACTCTCTCTAGTCGTGTAAACTCATCTTTCTCCTATATCATACATTTACAATAAAAAATACCATTTAAATAACATCCAAGCATATCACAGAAAATAAATTTCTTCTTTTCCTATTACAGTTTGAAGGGGGAATGGATGTGAGAATTGCAATGCCGGAGTATTGGTTTTATAGCTGAGTGTTAGCAACCTGCTTGCTGGAAATGAGATACGCACAATCTCTTCTACTGTGCGCACCATCCAATTCCACCAATAAAAACTAAGCATTTAAAATAGTGACTCACCATCTAGTCAGACATTTTATTCAACAGTGAGCACCTCTATTTTGGACCAATAGCAATGCACCAAATTAATTACAGTTGTGCACGCCTCCATAGGACCAATAAGAATTGTTATGCCACAAAACTTTATGTGTTGATGGACGTTTTAACATTAGATTGTATTTCTTTTTCATTTATTTTGATTGATAAACAAATAAAGGATTGATGTTGACATTTCTAAGCGGGAACACTGTTCATCAAAAATCTTTTGCTTTTATATTAGAATAGATTACCAATAATTAATTTATTTTCTTTCATCAATTCGTCTATCTTCGATTCTGTGTTACTTGATTCCCTACTCAATTCCATCTTTAGATTAGTTTAGTTTTAGCTTAAACAATATTCTTTTTTATGTAGTATTAATTTAATTAAATACTATATAGATTAGTTGCTTCTTGGTGGTAAACCGGTAAAAAGATTTGATGTCTTTTCTGCTTCGCATCCCTATATTATTATACTCCATACTCTGTATTTTTTTATTAAGTATCTAATTGTATCTATCTTGTTTACAAGTTGTTATGATACCTGTAAACAAAATTCTCTTTGCAAGAAATATGTAAAAATAATAAATATAAATTGTATACGTCTCTTTACATTCTTTCGTCTAGCCTTGTTTTGAAAGGAAAACGCCAAACTCAATCACCTACTACTAAATATCTAACTTTTATCAAACACTTGTTGACAATAGGCTAATATAATCAACCAATAAAACATACAATAGAACCAGTTATTGTCAAAACGCTATCACAATCATCTAACAACTAACAATCGATTTTCAAACAAGACCATAAACTCAATAGCAATTCTTTTGTGTTTTTATTTTGAGTTTCTATTTTATTTTGGAAATATAAAAAGAAATTCTTCTGATTTTTAGAATTTGGAGTTATTTATTCTTTGTTATAATAGTGATAATCTAGTCGAAGACCCTTTTTACTATCAACATAAATAGAGAAGTCCAAGCATTAGGCTATTGCCTAAGAATAGGTGTAAGTATGCAAAAACGAATTTGCCTTTTATCTAACTGTATCCAAACTTATGGTACAAAATTCTATGCAAACCACCAAGTTTCACTATTAGTTCGCCCCTACTAGGGGTGGAAACATGTCAAGCCAGACTTTCGTCTAAATAGGTCGGGTCAACTTTTGAAAGTGTAGGCCCAAGTCTAGCATGTTACCTGTTTAAAGCCCAATTTTCGGCCTAAGCCTGACCTTCTAGAAAGAGTGGTCTCGCCTGAAGCCTCTTAACGCGCCTGTTAACCAAGTCTGTCACCCAAAGGAAATAATACGAAATATAATTGATAGAGTAGATGGGCCCAGACCCCATGGCCCACATACTCAGAAGACCAATACAAGGATACATGGCGCCCACATGGTCCACCATCGGCCAGAACCCACCAGATCACAGAAAGTAACTTAGAAGCCTTGGAGCAGACTTGGTTTCCCTTCAGCTATTCTTCCGTCGGTCAGGCCCCTCGTCGACCATAACTACATCAGTTGGCAGTATCTTGTGCATTTTATACCTAGGTCTAGAAATCGTGTAATCAGCCTGTATTAGAGGCCTTATATTGTACCGGGCCTCCCAGGAGCCCAACCCACATTTCCTTTATATATACTCTCATATGGGGTAGTTGACTAGTTATTGGGGTCAAGAAATATTAATTACTATCACTTTCTCTCTAGATCTATACTCTATCAATAATCAATATTATCTATAAACTAGTATTTGATACTTCGATACATCATCAACAACAACAACATCCAAGCCTTAGTCCCAAAAGATACTAGGGTCGGCTAACATGAATCGATACATGATATCACCATCGAAAGGAAAAGAAAGAAAATAAAGAAAGATAAGCTATTATGACAAGGATAATATAAAAAGAGATGAATATACTTAAAAATTATAAATTAAAAAGGATAAAAATAATGTTTATATATATAAGGATAAAAGGATAAAAAAAAGAAAAAAAGATGAGGGGAAAAGATAATACGAGATCACTCATCCACACGGATACCCGCCCTCCACTTTGCTCTCTCTAAAGACATACCCTCATCCAACCCAAGAAGAAGCATATCACTTTGGACTCCCCTAACCCATGTTTGTTTGGGCCTTCCCCTCTCTCTCTTCCCTGCCTCTTCTCCACACATCTCAACTCGTCTGACAGGTGCATCACTCGCTCTTCTACGCACATGACCAAACCACCAGAGGCGCGACTCCTGCATATTGTCTTCAATATGTGCTACTCCCGCCCTTTTTCTGATTGTCTCATTCCTCATGTGGTCCTTCCTAGTATGCCCACACATCCAATGCAGCATGCACATCTCCGTCACACTCATCTTTTGAATGTGACATTGTTTCACCGCCCAACACTCTGCGTCATACAGTAATGCATGCCTAGTTGATATCCTATAAAATTTACCCTTAAGTAGTCTATTCAGCTATCACATAGAAATCCTGACGCACTCTTCCACTTCATCCACCCTGTTGTGATTCTATGAGATACATCTCCATCTAACTCACTGTCCTTCTGAATTATAGAGCCCAAGTAACGGAACATATCGCTGACCAATATCTCCTTACCATCTAGAGTAATTCGCTATTACCACTGCTTCTACCTCCAACGGACTTGCACTCCATGTACTTTGTCTTGCTCTGACTTAGTCTGAAACCCTTGTTCTCCAATATTTCTCGCCATACTTCCAACTTTGCTTTAAAACTTGATTGCGTCTCATCAAGCAATACAATATCGTCGGCAAACATCATGCACCACGATATTTCGTCTTGAATTGACTTCATAAGTTCATCCATGATTATGGAAAATAAGAAAGGGCTCATAGCCGATCCCTGGTGCACTCCGATAACAATAAGGAACTCTGCAGTTCTCCCTACACTGGTACAGACACTTGTAGTGCAATCCTCATACATAACCATGATGATGTTGATATATTTGCATGATGTGCCTTGTCTAGTTAAGGCCCACCAAAGAACTTCTCAAGATACCCTATAATAAGCCTTTTCTAAGTCAATGAACACCAAATGCATATCCTTGTGAGCATCTTTATAGTTCTCCATAAGTTGCCGAAGAAGGTGAATGGCCTCAGTTGTTGAGCGACCAGGCATAAAACCGAATTGATTCTCTGAAATCTTCACAGTTTTTCGAAGTCTCTGCTCAATCACTTGCTCCCAGAGTTTCATGGTGTGACTCATAATCTTAATCCCTCGATAGTTGACACATTCTTGCACATCACTTTTATTCTTGAATAAGGGGATAAGTGTCACGCCCCGGCCTGGCCGGACGCGCTAACAACCGCCGCATAATCCGATTAAGGCAACCGCAGTTCACCCTACTCGAACCATGCAAGGCGTACATGAATACCATTCACACTAGTACATCCATAAACAATCATAAATAAAGCATTTCAAATATACGCAGCGGAATACAAATACTTTTTAAAAGTAAAAGGCCACACAGGGCGAACATGAGCACGCAGGCTCCCAAATCATTTATAATTTAAAAAATAGTTCATGAGCATTATTTTATTTATATCAAAATAGAACTGGAAGAAGCACGAACCACGTCTTCTCTCCATGGATCACCCGAAGCAACGGGAACAGGAAACAAGCTCAAGCTTCTACCTGAAACTGTGAGGTGGCCTCCCCCGTGAAGGGGAGGTCAGTACTTGGAAGCATTTGACAAGTACAATGACAACTATACTGAATATAATTCATGTTTCAAACACAAGACCCTCAAAATAGGGTGATACTATATTATGGGCATAACCTACAGCTACCCCATTTCAAATCACTTGTATAGAATATATATACCAAGTCAAATAACCGACCCGTAGGTCCATTTGTATTTCAAAACAATTCCCCTTGTATAGCCCTTGGCCTATTCTTGCATATAGCAATCTCGAGAGGTTACCCCACCCCTAGTCTAAACCCAACTCCATCGAGGGGGTTACACAATTTATCATTTGTACTCGTCCACGTTGGACTTACCCACCCTACGGGTGTATTCATTCCTTTTTGGGCTTAAACCCCCAGCATAATATCTTTGATTCATTTAGGGCTTACACACCCCGTATATTCTTAGTTTGTGTAGGGCTTACACACCCCGTATAATACTTTACTCATTTAGGGCTTACACACCCCGCGTAATACTTTACTCATTTAGGGCTTACACACCCCGCGTAATACTTTACTCATTTAGGGCTTACACACCCCGCGTAATACTTTACTCATTTAGGGCTTACACACCCCGCGTAATACTTTATCATGTAGGGCTTACACACCCCGTATAATACTTTATTCATTAGGGCTTACACACCCCGCGTAATACTTTATTCATTAGGGCTTACACACCCCGCGTAATACTTTATTCGTGTAGGGCTTACACACCCCGCGTAATATCCTTTATCTCGTTAGGGCTTACACATCCCGTATGTATATATATCCCCGTATACTCATTGTACACGAGCAATCATAATCTATCAACCTCGGTATAGTCTTCATCAAGACTCCCCGGGCTGCCTTCATATAGTCTAGGTAGACTCCACCATTTCCTTTGAGTGTGACCATAGCCCATCACTCATTCTAAGTTCATGCCTATCTAATTCAATACTATAGATAGCACATACAATTAATCACTACGGATTCGTATCACTTTGATCATGTCAATAACTCAAGTATTCCTTACTTCACATTTAATCATTTTGCCCATCCACATAGGTATCCATATATCCCTTTTAAGATCTTATGGAATCACACATTTATCAACATTTGTCTATATCATACTAATCCTCTATATCAATTCAATAATTAATATATTTCAAGGATTTCTCCCCTCATGCATAATGTCTTTGCTTATTCACCTTTGTAATATCATGTATCAATTTATATGACCACATAGCAACACATTTATTCACATTGGAGTATATCATTTAATTCCATCAAAATCATAATTTGATTACTTAGGTAATCTCATGCTCAACTCACGAGTTATAGACAATATAGTCAGCCATCATCACCTTAAATATGTCCAGCAAGGTTGCCTATTGAAGCCCCATCGTTAAACTTTCGATCGGGAATGATACGAAACAAGCTTGGCTGGCAGAGGGCAAAAGCCGCCCGGCTTTTGCAAAAGCTGCCCGGCTTTCGAGTTCTGCTGCACGAAAACAGCACCTAGATGTGGCGGTTTCCG